AGTAAGGCACTTGTTACTACTAGCGAGGCACTTGTTTCTAATAGCTTCTTGTTACTACTAGAGGACGGTATTTCTTAGACGTACGATGCCAATCGTCGAGGACTTTCTTGGCAACGACCAGACAGCGTGCCCAGCTCTCCGGTCCGTGGTCTGTGCGGGGAACGCCTGACACCAACCAAGCCACGACAAAGAATAGCAAGCATAAAAAGCAAGTTTCCAGATGTTTCCAGGAGTCTTTGGCGGGAGGGCATCCAAGAGTCTCAGAAATTGCCAGTTTAGCCTTTAAACAATATATCAGAAGTTTCTGGGCGGGTGGGCGGGTGGCAGCAAAGAGTCTCGGAATATGTTGTTGTGGTTGTTGGTTGTTGTTGTTGCTGTGGTTGTTTGTTGTTGGATGTGTTTTTATGTTTTATCTTGTTGTTGTTGTTGTTGATGTTGTTGTTCAATTGTTTATTGTTTACTATTTTTGTGTGTGTGTTGTTATTGTTTGTCCGGTGGGAGGCAAAAACAGGTGATACCACATGTGCATTTTATGAAGCATATTGCACATTGTTGAAGTGGGCAGCAAATGCAAAGTTATGATATACATGCCTTTTGTTGATATGTTTTTACTATAGGGGCTTGGCACATGGACATGCAAACTACACTGTAATTTAATGTCATGTACAGTGCAGCCCTAGGAGCGCCCCTTCTGCAACCAAAAACAAGACATTTCTCACCTCCTTGACGCCAGGTAGCACAAGGGTACCAAGCTTTGGGAGTTGAACTGGATGTGGCTGAGATTCCTGGATGTCTGCGGCTGAAACAAATCCCCTCTGGGGACACCATCCATCACTGATGGCAGCAATGGCTTGGAAATGGCTCAAAAAGTAGGGTACCATCGGCCGTCGGTGCCCTATATATATATATGTATATTAAACCCACTACTAAACCCCTGGTTGCTGGTAAGAAATATGCAACGTGACTGAACACCTGCAGGTCCCTGGAGTGCGTGAGCTCCACGCCATTTTTGTGTGGAAAACACTGTTAATGTTAATAACTTAAAACATTGGACAACTCGTCCAAACCCATTCACCAGTCGTCAGAACCAAATCAAGCCCTCACTTGGACTGCTGTTTCCTTTCTTGGAGGTGACGCAAATGGTGACCGAAAAGGGAGATCTACTACTGCACGTGAATCTACACAGGGTTCCCCTCCAAACGACTGACTGACAAAACAAGTACCGAACTCTGTGGTGGCAAGCCATATATATCGTATATCCATATAGTTTGCTTTATATTGTTTTGAACACAGAAACGCTAGCAAAAAAACATGGAAATACGTTCTTGTCTTCAATTGAGCCCTAGACCCGAATGAAAAGCAAACACCAAATTTACTTTCACACCCTAGTTGTAATCCTTTACCAAAAAGACTCACTATGGGTGTGTATTAGAATAGGGAGGCCCTTCAAAGACCTCTGGGAAATGAAAAACAGACTAAATCCGTGGGTTGGGATATGCTTGATGTTCCAACTCTGGCAGTCTCCAAAGCCGGGTCGAAGACGTCATTCGCTCGGGTTTTTACTGGGAGGGGGCGGCGGCTGAACCTCAACTTCGACAGTCATAGGTAGGTTGAATATGGTTGAATACCCATGCACAATCCAGGCCAGGAGGCACTAGCAAGTCATGGAGTTGATATGAGTTGATCCAGTTCGGACGGAGGGCCCAACAGTGGCCCAACCGTGGGGCGATCGTCATCCCTATCGCTCATACCCTCCTGAGCCGCCCGCGAACGGCTATGCACGTGCTTGATTCGAACCCCACCCTGCCGGACCCTTCCATACTGAAAGCACTGGGGAAGCAAATCAGCGGGTCCCATCACCACCAACCCCCTGATCCGCAGAAACGCAAACAGGACTTTTCGATCCGCCCCCCGTCGTGAAAGAACTCGTATCGTGCCCAACTCGGTGGCTACTCACCGGCTACGCTCAGATCTGGCGGGATGAAGAGAAAATGGAAAGGAATTCTGGAATGAGAACCCTGCAGTTTTTGCAGGAAAAACCGCAGGACTAGCCAGCCATCGTCGCCTTGCGGGCCTGTATTTGGGATCCGTGTGACTGTGAGTCTTGATCTGATCTGTCCTGCGCATGTTCTGGAAGCCAACTTCGGAGTCTGAAGTGGCTCGAAGAGCACAAGCTAACAACCTCAAGGTGCTTCAGCCAGTTTTTTGCTTGGAACATGGCAGTTTCAACATTAACATTGAATTCTGTGCAGTTTGTGACATGGGAGCACCTGGGGTGCGAAACATGCACTGCTGCAGCATCTTGCATCAAGCCCATAGCCATGGCCGACCGGCACTGAAATTTACGGGTGTGAGCGATTAGCCTCACATGTTTTTTGAAGAGCCCCCTGGTGGCGTCTTCTCTGAGCATGAACAGAGTTGCGGAAATCTTCAGTAGTGAGGAGTGATATGTAAGGGCCCAGAGTTTTAAACAAAACAAAAACAACATCTGACGAGTTCAGACATGTTAAGGGCACACCAAACGAAACAACTGAAGAGAAAACTTACCCTCCCAGAGTGCCACCTGTCAGGCCAGGGTCTCTAAAGCGGTCATGACTCCGAAGATATGCCATTTATATAGATATGTTGGAGCACGTGTTGGGTAGGGTAGTAAGCCAGTTTTGCCACAACATCATATGTCAGAATCCCATTTGCCAAAAGGTACAGAATGCCAAATTTTGACATAGTCGGCAACAATGGCAGCACATCTGCCATCTTAAAAGTGGATCAGCGCACATGTCAGAACATAAAATACTAGATATACTAGCTACACATAGTCAAAAACAAACACACACACACAATGCAAGAGGGACCACTGCCATGCGAAATGCCAATACATATGTCAGTACACCACCTCATATGTCAGGCAGCAAAAGGAAGGACATGATCCTGACAAATGACCTGACCTGCTGCCTGACACTGGCATATGTACTCCATTATGCATTGTACTCCCAAATCAGGGCAGAATTCTGTGCACCAAGACCCTCCTGTCGTGTCCGATGGCTACCGCCTGCATGGTCGCACTTATGCTTTGACAGTTATAGTTATAGTTGTATAGTTGCAGCTCGACTCCATCTCTCAGAATGTTCATGAGTCTATTCCGAAATTCCCGGGTAGTAGCTGTCTGGGTTGAGGCAAACAAAGTCACTCCAATCTCTGGCCATCCACCCTGCCCCCTCTCTGAAAAAAGCTCACCGATTGATTGTTAAAACAGCTGTTGTTGGAACATTCCTTGAAAACCAACAAGCCAACAACCTCTATTGACCAGCCGTATCAGCGCGGCATCGTCGGGCTGTGAAAGAGGCTGCGAAGATCTGCGAAGCTGGTGGGGCAAGGAACAAGAGGCCTTCGGGCAAGTGGGAGTCACAAGTTCCAGTTGATCAGCACACCTTTAACCAAATAGTAAAAAGTGGGAAAGCAGGAAGGGATCTCCACCACTCGCACGTGCGATGGGCTAAAAGCAATGGCCCCAGCATGGAGAATATACAATACCACTCGGGGACTAATCTGTCCTGGGCAGGGAAAGCATCTCAAGCATAAGGCTGGTAGAGGCCCATATTGATATCTAATCTAACATCTACTTATGGAACGGCCACGCCATCGATGTTCCGATCACCTGTGATGACACCAGTGATGTTCCGGTGGGCCAGGGCCGCCAGGGTGCTAGTGCCCTGGGCACAGGTTTGGAAGGCTTAGAAACATGAGACGCTCCCTGAAATACTCATGGAAGTGCAACATTGATGAAAATGGCCCCTTGGATGACCATTTTCCTCTACAAACAGACTATATTGTCCAGGTCCATGATTAGTTCAGGGAGCGTACAGTATGTATGAGTACGAGTACGTCCGCACCTCATGGGTCCCAACTCTTCTTTCATCTTGGAAATGAGTCTCATGAAATGCAATAGATATAAATGCAATAACCCAATAGAAGAATGCAATAGAAATGGGTATCTTATTTCGTCTTATTTCATCTTATTTCTATTGCATTCTTCTTCTTTCCCATCTTTCCTCACAGAAACCCCTCACTTGCCCAGATCCCGGCCGCCTGCTCATGAGGCTGGCGTTTTCACGTGGTCCACGCTTTGGGGAATCGGAGATCCGCTCCCACCAGTGGAGTTGCAGCACAACCGTCGCGCTTTATCGCTTTCAAGACTGTTCTTGATCGCTTCACCTATATAGGAAACATCAGCCAACACGGCCATTCTCCGCCCTAGAACTATTTGCTGCTGGGATCACTGAAGGTCTTACACATGTCCAGCGAGGGACTGGCCGGTGGCTCCTTGACCGCCTGGCCTGCAATCATCATGCCCTTCACGAAGCCTGGGCGCTGCCACGCACGCGAGGTGGGTCACATGCCACAGACCCCGCAATGAAATCAAAATAATTCAATAACCTTGGGGATCCCGACCGGACCCTCAAAAACAAGGGTTAGTTTGAGGGTACAAACCCCCGTTAAAGCACCTGCATGGACTGGATTTGAGCACAAAGGCTACACATTGTTCTGAAGAGGACGCCTCATGCATATCCAGGACACGGTTGAGGTGCGCACGACGTTTTAAACCTTGATCTGTCTGAGCTTCCACTGCTGATTTCGTCGGGGTTTTGCCTCGGAGCTGTTCTGAGCAGTGTGGCAGAACTGAAAGATGCAGCCCCAGCCAACTCACATGATCTTTTGATATCTTTCGTATGTCAGCACGTGCTTTGGCACCTGCACATCATCCAACCCCCTCAAGAATTTCCCCTGGTCCTCTCCACAAACACTTGCAGCTGTCAAAAAAACCTACAGTTCCAAGGGTATATATATATATAACCCGACGACGGCCAATTCGACTGGATCACGCAGAGATCGGGATCACCCCTTAGGGGTCCCGGACGAAAGCTGGAATCCGAACGCAAGCACCACGGCCACGGCCCGGCGACAACCCCCGAAACCTCCGAAGGGCTCACTGAACCCCATCTAGATGAGCACCGAAACCGAGCACCACAGCACCGAGCACGTGCCGTTTCAGTCAGGAGGCGTTCAGTGTCGAAGGCTCTGGGAGAACTGCGACCATCCGTTTTGGGCCAGATCCATCGCTCGGGCGACTTGGAGCGCCGCTCCGTCATACGTGGGCGAGCTGAAGCGACCGAGCAAGCAAATGGCTGGGTGTGGCTACATCAATCGACAGGCCAAAGGGGCCCGTTTCGTTGCCAAGATCCTGGCAGTCAAGTCACTAGTGATGGAACGTAGCTTCAAATCCAACATATATCCAGGCAGCGGAAAACGGAACATGAGTTTAAAACCACCATCAAGGGGTTTACCAAACACATTGGTTTTGCTTGTCCGTGACCCATGTCCCGCAAAACTGGGTGCGGCTCATGAGCTGGTAGATGCTGGTAGAGGTAGAGACGTGTGCGATCCGGAGCGATCCGGGACCTCTTATAGCATGTCCTGGGGCATTCGCCTGAGGCGCTCAGAGAAGCTGTGTCTCAAGCTGCCTCAAATGCGAAAGACACGCGAGTCAGCCCGGCCCCCCCCCCCCAAAAAAAAAATAACCATCCCAAACGCTCATGGACCCTCCTAAGTAGCGGCCGGACCCTCAAATCCCTAAGGCCTAGGGTTTTGAGGGACCAAGAGCTGTTTGGAGCGTCTGGGATGGCCAGAAACCACTGCAACCAGTTCGACGACAGCAGTCACTCCATGTACGTTGCACCTCGACTGTTTCTCTGGCTGAGCGAAGTGAAGCTCGTCCCCAGACGTGCAGCTCGGTCAAAAGAGCTTTTCATTGTTGCACGTTGAACCCGGAGTCACCAAGGGGTAGTCTTTTTTATGTGTGTTTAGTTCCATCCAGTGAGTGGATGTTCTGGGCACCCCTATCCTGAAAATAGGCACCCGTTTGTGACTGCTGGAAGGGGTCTTGATATTTATATTGTCTCTTTGATTCTTGACTATTCTTGACTATCCCTCAAATTTCTGTTGGGGGGAGAGGTCCATGCACCGCCCCACTTGTGTGGATCCTGTTGAAGAAAAAGTATATATATGCCACTATATGCTGGTTGGGATGGCGATACGTATGCCCCGACGTGGCTAGCACCCTCCAAATAGAGTGACGAACAAGTGGACAGCCACATATTGACACCACCCGATTTCCGAGTCAAATCCTCCATCTTAGGGGTCAGTTGCAGGGCCGACAGGGGGCCTCAGCAGAATCGTGGCTGGCTCCTATTTTCAGCTGAATCTCAAGCAGCTCCGCAGAACGGATTCACCGGTCGGCCTTTGTAGGCTGACGGGCACGTTTCATTTCGGTCGCAACAACCCTATCCAACGAGCCCCAGATCTGCACATGCGCCCGCTCGCGACGAACTCCCCGAAGGGGACGGGTCGCGAACTCTCATGCTCGAGCTCTGAGAGCCATTTAACGACATTAAATTTGCCAAAAGCATTGAAAAATGAATGGGCCATCCCCACCGGCTGGTGCCAAATGTTCAAGCAACTGGGCTCCCCAGTCATCCTCTTACCCCTCTCTCTGTGAAATCATCCAGCCCCCTACAAGACCTCCGCCGGAGAAAGGAGTCCAGCCCATGCTTGCGGGTCGCTGCCATCCCGGTGCCGTGTTGTCGGGATACGTTTTGACGGTTGGATCGTGTTTGACCGTCCCCGACTTCTGAAAACAGCGTCGTGCCATGTAGCAGCCACAACAAACACAGCAGGAGAACAGCTGTAAAAACCCGTCTTCAAGAGAGAAAGAAGAGGCCACATGTTGCGCTTGACTTCGCAAATCTTCAAACTTTGCTCAGGCTCATCCCTTACAAGAAGCTCCTCAAGAGAACCAGAAAAATCGGGAGAGCCTCATAGCCCGTTCATTAGGTGGGTGATGTCAAATGGATGGACTGAAACAGTGGTAAACAAGAACTCATTGGGACCCCACCTTGAAGTAGCTAGCTTAGCTAGCGGATGCTAACGATTTTGGAGGCTCTTTTACCGGCTCCAAAGGCACATCAAAACCCGTCCGGGAGCTTCACTCTCCAGACGAAGTAGTGACATCTAGTGACATCTAGTGACACTAGTGTCAATGGTGTTTTTCGGCCGAGGCGAAGAGCACCTGTTCCCGCGGAGAATGTTTGCTTTTTTTCCTCTGCCGATGGGGAAGTCAAGGCCAAGGCGGTCAAAACGGATATGGTTTAGCATTTACGTCTCCAAAAACTGGATGAGATCTATTCTGCCTCGCCATCCTCGCCTTAGCTGCTAGTGGATCTAGTTCTTGCAGGGGCCTATTTCAACCAGGTGGCTCCACACCTAGGCCCAGGCGCCCTCTCAGGATTTGGCCCGCACAAAGATGGACCCCTCTGTGAAGGCAGAATCATCTTTCACCACTTGGCCTGAGACCATCATGCCCTTGAGGAAGCCTGAGCGGCATTGTTTGATGTCAAAGGGATAAGGGATACGCCACCGTCGACTTGGGATGCCCCCGCGGCCTGACTGGCATGAACATGCACGATACTAGGAGCAAGGACGCTACGAACGGGGCTCCTGGCCTTACTACTAGGAGCAAGAAGCTACGAACGGGGCTCCTGGCCTTACTACTAGGAGCAAGAAGCTACGAACGGGGATCCTGGCATCGCTACGAACGGAGCAAAGGACGCCAATGTAACCCTGGAGTCGCAACAGACTTGGCAAACAGCAAACGATTTCGGCCTCAGTCCCACCGCCAACCAACCTGGAAAGGTCAGCCGAAAAACTCACACAAATGCCTGGCTGCGGCCGTTGCGGTGATTCCCTATAACCCCCATAAAGCCTGGCTTGGATGCGGGCAGCTTTCTCAACCGAGAAAGCTGCAGGTGCCAGTGACAGGTGACAGGTGGTTTGTGGTGGTTTCTGGAGTTTGTTGTTTGCTGGGCATGAGCGCAGCTGGATTCTTTGCATGCTTTTTTGTTGCGTAGGCTTTCCGCACGGGCCGGCGCAAACAGATTCGGGAAACGCATCAACAGAGAAACATGACACTCCCTTGGCCAAAACTGACCGTACACTCAGACTCAAAAACTCGGCCAAAAGGCACTAATTTAAAGATTGAGTTAGTCTTGTGGAATGTGGACACCACCGACATCCAGCAATGGGCTTCAGTTTTTGCTGCCTTGTGAGTGCAGGAGCCCGGAATTCCTGAGAGCGACCTCTGAACGCCCACGTGAACGCCCACAGTCCGGTTCCAAAAAAAGCAGTCGTTTTAACGTACCCGGTGTGTGTCATCCAGGGACCACGTCGTGTGGCGTGCCTGAAAAGGAAAGGAAGTCCAAAAAGACAGCAACAGAAGAATGCACATGCAAACATGACATGAATTCATTGTCAGTGTCATTCTTCAGTGCAAAATCTTCCCATTATAGTTATAGGTGATCAGGGTAGGTCACACGGCAAGAGTGAGGTGCAATACAACATTTGCACACATGATGTTCTGCGTATGTGTCCTTAATTGATCTTATTTGTCATAGCTCTTGATACTCTTTATCGTTCCAGTGACCCCCCAGATGGATCTCTTCATCTGTGACAAAAAGGCGCCAAAGCATATCGGTGCGCATTAAATCCACATCGCAAGAACAAACATACATGACAAATCATGAAAGTGCACTGTATATATATATACCTTAACATGTCTTAACATCTATAGAGGCTGGACTTTCAGCAGCTTTTCCCCTGCTCTTCGTGGGCTGAATCAATCCGGGATGCGATTGAGGTGTGCCCGACGCTTTTGGGCCTGATCTGCCTCAAACGACTGTGTGCTCTGGGGAGGAGGCTGACTCTTGCCTCAGTTTACGTGTGCCAAGACTATGCCCACCGGCTGCACCAAGCGCCGGAACTCGCGCTGCCGAGCAAGTTAATAACTCCCTCTCACAAAACGGAGCTGGGGCAGGCTCATGAGGCTGCTAAAGCATATTTTATTCAAGAGTGGTGAATGGATGGGAAGCAGTGCAAATCTGTGTCCATGTGCCACTCGCCTGTTCGGCATAGAAACCACCACTTTGGAAATTGTTGAGGAATGTTTCTAGCGGATTTTACATGATGTCTTGAAGATTGAATTTTTGAGACAAGGATCAAGCCGGTGAAGTACAAACAAAAGCATCAACAAGTTGGAGTCATGCTGTCATAATTTGAGATACCCCTCGTGCCCAGCAGTCGACTTGTCCGCTGAAAAATATCCCCCCATTACATAACTTTAAACTGTATATATACATATAATGTATAATTATAGTGATTATTGCTGTTGAGTAGAACCAAACCCCATAGTTCACTGTAGACTGCAATGCACTAAACATCGATCCTTTCTCATCCTTTTGAGGAGTGACAACATCGCGAACCCGCCCCCGCCGCGAAGAGCCCGCCCCCTGCATCCGCGAACCGCACCCAATGCATCCCCTGCATCGGCCGGGGTACCGAAGGCACTCAATGCTCTTGGCGAGCCCGGGCCGCCCTCGACCTTCACACCACCGTCTCGCCGCAACAAGGCTTCCAGGCCCCGCTCCCGCGAAGTCGCGCGCGGCGAGCGCGGCGAGGCCACGTGCGGCATGGCGGTGACCGGTGGGCAAAGCCAAAAGTGAGCTGCAGGATGATGCAGGATGATGCAGGAATGGAGGATAGATGAATTGGGGACGGGTGATTCTCAGGTGATTCTCAGGCTGAACCTCGCTTTTTTGAGGAAACGTGGTTGGCTCGGAACCCGCCAGCGAGCTGGGAACCTCCGAATCGTGTGGCTGCTGCTCAAGGCTCAAAACGCGCAGCGTTGGGGCGCTGGTCACCAGCTTGATGGAGGCCCAAGATCCATCTCGGCCAACCTGCCTACACACGAGTGGCGTCGCACCATGTGTTGGGCCTCTCAGAGTTGAGGATTGACTCCCTCTTCTTGGGGAAGGGACAGGCGCCCATCTGTTAAGGAAGGAGCCTCTTTGGGACCACGAGTTGGCCTTCAGGGCAAGGCCTCTAGAGGCCGATTCTCCCCACTTGGAGTGGTTGATACAGTGATATACCTTCAAGAAGACAGTCCAAGTCCAACATCGTTAAACACACTGCGAAATGCAGCAAATGCATGCTGATTGTGTGGCAATGCCTTGAGTTGCTTGAATCATGTTGAATCCAATCCTGCCTGCAACCATCCAAGCTTAGCCGCCTCAATTTAGCACAAATCGATTCGTGACTGAGCTTCTCCAGGAGAGGCACCACACTCCTCGGCTAGACCCTGGAGTGTGAAAAAAAAAAAACAAAGACCAAAGACCCTTCAAGACCATTCTTTCTCTTCTGGTTTTCT